TGCACAGTCTGTTCCTGACGGTATTATAGCATTGACACTCAGGCTAATTGGTAAGTAATCTAAATTTTTCTCTGAACTTCTGCTTAATGGATGTCCTTGAAAAAGGTCAGTCCAGTGTGGAAAGTAATTTGAAGTATTTTTGCTTCTTTCTTTTTTTTTTTTTTATTTCCTCAAAAGATTTTTCACCTTGAAAGACAAACTGTTACAATCTCGTGCGAGTATTTTCTGTTTGCCATCCTGTGAAAAGCATGTACTTAGATTCTGAGAGATGTTACTATGATTTAATGATAGTAAATATCAATATATTTTATGTATTTGAAATGAAGACATATCCTTGGTAGCTGCTTGTTTTTATACCAAAGTATATAAAATAAGGCTTTGCCACTTGTGAAGTTGAAATCCTTAATTTGCTCTCTAGGTGGCATTCAGCATAAATCGATGAACTCTGGATTCCACTAGATGTTTTTAGTTACGTAATGTTTAACAGAAGTTGCATTCTTCAAGAGTTTATTCTTTCAAACTGTGTGAACAATACCTTGGGATCTGTGGTCAGAAGAGGAATAGGACTGCTGTTGTTCCCAAGACAGATGCAGTAACAAGAGGGAGGATTTCGGGTTTTTATTTTGTTGGGGTTTCTTTTGTTTTTTCAGGTCGATTGGGACAAATAGGTTTGAAGGAAGGATATCTTTCTGCTGTGAAGAATATTAGTTCTGTAATTGGACTGTTTGTACAGCATGCAAAAGAGGAAGGTAATGTCTGTTCAGAAGAACTTTAATATAAAATCTGCAATAAACAGAATGAGTACAAATTAGGACATTTGTGCCAGAACAGCCTGCTTGTGCAATTTTATGTTAGTAAGGAACAGAACAGACAGGTTTCAGTTTGAGTCCCTGGCTCTTCCAAAGATAATGAAGCCTGGCTATTAATATTTTTCTCAGTCAGGGAGCTTCTTGGAGGTATTCTCAGACAACTTGAAATTATTCTGTTTCACCTAATGTACCAGCTGCCTCAGTACATTTTGACGCAAGCAAGAATTGTTAGTTTGGTACCTGAGCAGCTCATACTGTTCTAAATTCTTGACTGAGACAAAGCAAGACAGGAAGAGCAGCAGAGATACGCAGTACTTATTCTGGATACTAAGTTTACTTTGCAGTGGCACGTTCACTGCTGTGAGAGAATTATTTGACCTACAGCTTCTCTCTCTTGAGTCTCAGGCTTTTCCAAGTAAGTGGATGGACACATCTGTAATCGTATTTTTCTGTCTCTGTGTAAATCTATTTGTTTTCATAGTTTAATCACCCTGCAGTAGAGTACAATTACTGGATGCTCAAATCCTTTGTGTCCATTGAATACTAAAACCCTGCTGAATTCGAGAACTGGGAAGTGCAAGTATAAAATGAGATGTTAAGGAATTTTTGTGCAGATTGTCTTCTTGCTACTTTCAGGCTGTAGATATCTCACCTGTTGATGTTTTTATTCCTGTTTTTGAACAAACAGTTTCCCCCAGAATTGCTGCATATTCAAGTTGATAGGAGCTAATTTGTGTTAACTTTTTGCAGATGTTCCATGGGGTGTGCAGCTGGCGGCCATATATTCACTGTGCGACTTGGGTTCAAGCAATCCATCTGGTATTGTTGGGGCCATCCATGCTTGGAGAGCTACAGTTCTTAACAGCATCCCTTTCGCGGTCACAAGAGGCCTAGCTGAAGTCAGTTCTTTGTGTAAATGGACCTACCCTAAAGCATAGTTAAATGGTCCTGTCTGAAGAAGTGCCTTACTTTACTAAGCAGAAATTGGTTCCAGATAAGAGCAATACAGAGTGGTGTCTTCTTCTTAAAAGAATGTCTGATCATACAAAGCAAGCTTAACTGTTTTATTTGGCTTTTCTGCTTGAGGGCGGAGTTTTAAAAGAAGTAAAAAGGCTTGCATTTCCAAGTAACTCATCAGTGATCTTGAAAACCAGTATGGTTTTGATTTCCAAGACATTTCTGGCTTAATGTCAATAATAATCAGTAGTTCAATTTGGAGCATGGGCATTTCGCTACAGCAGAAGACTGAGCTTGGCTGAAACTTGGCTCTATTCTTTTGTATTATATTTGTAAAGTAGCTGTTCAGATAGCAGAATTTTGCCCAGATTCTGCTTTGTGTTCCTTGAGTAATTTCATCAACTTAATATTAAATACTTGTGTAAAGGAGGTAGAACTTGTGTTACAGTCACTTATAGAGTAACAGAGGTATGAAATCTCTGAACTTGTATATATGGTATATCCCGATAATGTGTTTTTTACATTTGATATTGTTCCACTTGGGGAATTTTGTGAATGTAAATAGAAAGTTGGTTCAGAAGAAGTTTAAACTTCTAATGATAGCTTCACTACACTCTGCATTTTTATATCTTCCATAATAAAAGAAGCAAACACTGTTATGTTCTTGTTGGTCTTTTCAAATAACACACTGGGAATGAACTGTTGTTTCTAGTTTAAGTAAGTACTGATTTGAGGGGAAGAGTTTTCACTGGGATTGTCTGCAGTCAGTTCAGTATCCTTCAGTTGCAGCATTTCAATTTCTTCTGGATCTCTTAAGTCTTTCTGGCACCTGAGGATCAGGTTCTGTTTACTGGTCCTATAAACGGTTTCCCAGTCGCTTCATGAGCCAACACGGTCCCATCCTTTTTCCTGCATGTTCTGCCTTAGCAGACAGCTCTTTAAAGAAAGAGGAATTCCCACCTTCTTGATGTTCTGCTTCACTTAGATGCTGCTGTCTTCAACAGAGTATGCACGCTGTTTTTGGTATTGCCTGTAGTACCAATGGCTGATGCATCATACATTAAGGTTAGACACCAGCTGTAGCTTATTCTGCCTTTCCAGTTTGTGTTTGCATCTACTTCAGATTGTCTAAACCTACTGTTTCTGGGATGAATGCAATTTAATAAGAACCTCCCTTGAATGTTATGCTTCTTATGCTAGACTTCTTGATAAAGACTAAAGAAGTAACACCAATTCACTAATGTGTGTGAATATTCATTGGAAATGTAAAATCATGGATTGGAATAGCTGGTATTAATAGCTCAAAAATTGTGTTTTGTAAAATACAAATACTAAGTTGTATAGTTTGTGTCAATATACATTTTATACAAAATGTATGAGTACTTTGTTTCTAAAGAGATTGCTCTACATTCTTGCTTATCTATCTGTAGAAGCAAGTTCTTAGTCTGACTACACTTTAATATAATAGTGTGTGTTTGCCAAAATAATCTCTATTTGGGATGACTGACGTGTAATATACATTCTTTAATATGGGAGAAAAAAAGAAAGAGCAGACGTTGGAGGTTTTCCAATAGGAATTCAACAGCACAATAAGAGGCACATTCCCCTCAAAACAATGCTGTGGTCTTAGCAAAAAAGAGGGGAAAAAAAAGTGTATTTCTGCATAGTTTCACTTCAGAGTAAAGAATCTTTCAAATGATTTGGAAGACTGCATTGGTGAAGTCAGGCTCCAAAGAGCTGTAAAAATCACAGCACTTATCAACTCCAGCTTTCACTGAGGGTGATGATGGTGGCAGCATTGGCAGCAGGAGTAAAAACAAAGTTGAATGTTTCTATACCATCATGAGCGTCTGAACTTGGGGCTTGCCTGGGGCTGCATACACAAAGGTTGCTCCAAAAGTAATGCTTCTTACTTATTTCCATGGAAGCTATGACTAGGTCAGGGCACATCTGTATTTGCACTGCTTCTAATGGCATTTATTTTTCTGCTGGTTTGCATGGTACCTGCTATAGGACTTTCTATATCGTGTGACTCAGGTCACAGGTTACAACAGTTTATAGGTATCAGCATCATAATCTCTTCCCTGTTGGCTTTGGACTAGTCTACAGTAATTAACATTGTAATGAACTCCTCACCTTGTCTCTGGCCTGGCTAGCAACAAGGAGTTCCAGTTATAATGTTTCTGTAACAGGCAACTTAAATAATGGGTTACAGAAATGCAAAAGCTTAACAATTACAATCTGCACCCTTCATCGTTTTGTGCCAGGCCGTAAGTCTTAACATTGCAATGAACTCCTGCCCTTCCCCATGCTCCACTCTGGGCTTGATCTTTGGCCATACTTACTTGGAAGTGTGCCTCTACTTGTGTGTCCCTCTACTCTGCCCTGGTGAGGCCTCCCCTGGAGCACTGCATCCAGATGCGGAGTCTTTAGTGCAGGAGAGGAAATTCTGCTCTGAGGCAAGCTCTTTGACTTTCACTTTGGGTTAATGTCACTGTTCAGAATAGCAACTGAGAAGGCTCCACTTCCGTGTGATTCTACACAGGCAGAATTTGCAATGGTTTCTGTCACAGAAATCTGGCAATTAAACTCACTAACCCTAATGCTGACAGTACTGCATTGCAGCACTGGGTGCGTGGGGGATGGCAGATTGTATACACTCAACTTGTGAATATTCATGCAATTTCCATGAAGTGCCTAGAATTGCTATGCATATTAAAATCTAATATGGCGCACTGTATCTAATAAAATCTAATATTACCTGCACTATGGTAATACATGGTTCTTGCAGGGGATCTTAGGTGGTCATGGAGTTCCACTGGGAGTTGCTGTCTAGCCAAATGTGCTAAGTAGGTCAGATCCCATATTTGATCAATAAATTATTTATTAAAAAATCGGCTTCTGGCCAAGCTTCTAGTGGTCACATCGGCCTTGCTGCGGTGCCTGTATTATCACACCTCCTCACGGCTTGTGGAACTCTGCTTTCAGAACTGACATGTCCTGCTTATCTAGGAAAACAGCCCTCCCCGCATAGAAGGTCGGTTTGCTGCATCAATTATATGCCGAAGATATCAATCGGTTGCCAGGTGTCGCTTCTGCACTGCGCACTGTGGCTGAAATCGTTGCTTCTCGCGTAGGGCTCGGGCCAGAAGCCGCTCTTTCCCAGGCTGTGCCGTGCCGGAACGCTCTGCTCCGGTCCCGCCCGCTCCGCTCCGGGCTTTCCGTCCGATCCTCGCTTCCCGCCGGCGCAAGGCCCAGTCCCCGCCCGCAGCCGCGCAGTTGGAGCGGCGCGGCGTTGCCGCGGTTGCCGTTGGTCGCTATGCGCTTTAGGGCTAAGATCGTGGATCTCGCCTGTCTCAACCACTTCAGCCGTGAGTATTGCCGTGCCGAGGGCACGGGGTGGCCGCGCCGCGGCTGAGCGGCTCGGGCTGCCTTTCCCGAGGGCGCAGAAGAGGAAGGGCTGCGCTTGCCGGCGGTGTCCGGTCGCCGTGCCGCGGGCGGGGCGGCGTGAAGCTGCGCGCTTTGCCGTGCGGGGGCGCGGCGTTTCTGTGGCGGTTTGGGCTGCAGAGGTTCTGCCCTGCCGCCGCGGTGCACAGCACGGAGCGGCTCTGCTCTTCCCTCCGCCCCGCCAGGTGTAATTAACACGATCGCGAAATTAGCCAAGAGCTGCACCCTGCGTCTGACGGAGAGCAAGCTGTACTTCATCCTGTCCGACAGAGTTGCTAATGGAGGAGTCAGCATGTGGGGCGAGCTGTGCCAGGTGAGCCGGGGAGGTTCGGTGCTCAGGCAGTGATAAGTAGTGCCCGCGGCCAGGTGTCTTTCACGAGGCGTTCCTTATAAATACGGCCCTTTCCAGAGGTGTCTCGGAGCTCTCGTGCCGCTCAAGGCAGCCTGTTTTGCACCGATGCCTTCTCGCAGTGCAGGGCTGGGGTTTGTGGCTAACGCCGCTTTTCCTCGGTCGTCCGTTCTAATTAAGGATTCCATGTGTGCTGGCCTGCCCAGAGCTGGAAGCAGTAAAGCGTAACTCGCCCTTCTGCCGTGTATTTTGAGGTGCTGGGGGACGATCTGAAGCTAATAGCTTCACCTCTGAAGCAGTGCGTCTCCGTCTTCGTGCATTGGTTCCTGCAGGTGGTGTTGGGCGCAGGATACCTGCTGTAACCGACTAAGGGCTGTGGAGTCCAACTTCACCCTCCTTTTTTTTTTTAATTTGCTTTGTTTTCTCAAATTTCAAACCTTGCAGGGGAATTTCTTTGATGAATATCAGATGGAGGGAGTAGCTGTAGATCACAATGAAATATATTTAGAGCTCATGCCTGAGAACCTGTCAAGAGCATTAAAAACTGCCCAGAGTGCAAAGGCGGTGAAGATCAAGTTGACTAACAAACATTCTCCCTGTCTCAGAGTTGCTGTGGAGCTAGTAAGTGCCATAATGCTTTTATTATGTTAAAATTGTTCAAAATTAAGTGTTTTTCTGTAGGTTGAATTGTAGCTCTGGTAGTCTTTGGTGTAATTCTAGAAAATGAAATAAAGAAAAATCTTGGCATTTTTGCCCTTACTGGCCTTTCCCACCATCAAGGTTGGTAACAGATAATCCCAGAATTATATTTTCCAAAAGATAAGAAGGGAGTAGGGGAGGAATGAAAGCCATGTGGCTGAAACATCTCCGTCCAATATCTTTGCCACCTGCTACCTTTCTCCATTTCTTCATTCTCTACATTTTCTGTGGTCTGTTGCCTCCTTATTGAAGGCAGTTTAAGGTTAGCTCATAGGTACTAATGACTCTTAAACTCTTCTGAACTCACAATCAGCTTAATAGAGAACCTGTGGAAAAATAGAGAAATGGAACTGGATGTCTGGGGTAGTTGGATCTAGTTTTTCCCCGACTGGGTGTGAAAAATTTGGATTCAGAATTGAACCTGTTTCTTACTTAAAAGATATGCTCTGTCTCTCTCAAGCCGTCCTTATCAAGCAGCAGTAGGATTGTGACACATGACATTCCTGTGAAGGTTATTCCCAGAAGACTATGGAATGACTTCAGAGAGCCCAGTGTGCCAGACTTTGATGTAAGCCTCTGTTTTGTATTTCCTATGGAGTGAGAAGGTTTATACTGCTATGGGGTATGCTGGCAGTGGGTTTTGGAGAGAAGGGGCAGAAAAGGGAAAGCTGGAGGTTTGGGGATGTTGCATCTTGACAAGAGCCCCAAATAAGTAAAAATGGAGCAGATAGTTGCAATTTGCTGCTGCATTATTTGGGATGGGACAGTGGAGAAGCAAAGGACTTGCATAGCTTTGTACAGGAGTGTCTCCAAAACACTAAGGTTTGTGATTGCTTCATATGATTTAACTGCTTAGGTACCAAGTAGCCCCAATAACCTGCTGTCTGGAATTTTTAGCCTACCTGGCTGAGTTACTTGTATATTTTTCCTCCTGTTTCTTTTTTAAATATCCTTTTTAACTTTCAGCAGAACTGCAACAAAAGGTCCTTGTGCAAATTGTGTTCCTGCTTGAGGATACTCTGTTACCTCCATAGCTAAGATTATTTCAAATCAGAAGATGTAAGACACAGTAGAAACTTGATGCATTCTGTTATTTCAGATTTACACTGATGTGGTTTCAAAGGTGATCAGCTGTAGTAACTTTGACTATTCAGTTACACAGGTGTAGGTTCACATGAGAATCTTATTTGCCCTCTATTTTCAACATGGCTTTGGGATAGTGTGTCTGAAGCAATTGCTAGAGGGATGGCCTGTTACTGGAATGGGAAAGAGTTCTTTTGTTCTTGGATTGTTTGCTGAATTTAGTTAAGTATTGTGTTCCTTCCACTCATTGTGTAGCTGAGGTGTCCAAAATAAGGATGTACTTGAAGGGGAAACTTGAACATTACAGATGAAATACTGTCATGACTATGGTGGTCTTTTTTTTTTTTTCTTTTTTGTCTTTCTAGGTCAGTATTTACCTACCAGCACTGAAAACAATGAAGAATATTGTGGAGAGAATGAAGAATATCAGCAATTGTATTGTAAGTTAAGGCACTTAAGTCTGTGTCCTACAGACCTCTTGGTTGTAACACTTGTTGTTTTCCCTGTTGCCTGATCTGATGCCTCTGTTATATTTTGTCTTTTGTATGGGATGGATTTTGAATTAAAGGTACCTGAAGATTGTGTAGGGGCTGAAGAGAAGTGATGAAGGGAATGATGGAATTTGTTTTAGGACTGGCAGTCTTAAAACTTGTCCAGGACCTCATAGAACATCCTCTTTTTTGCAGTGAGTTCCAGAAAGAACATGATATTATGTTGCTGCATAATGCATACAAGTCACTCTTTACAGATAGAAAGAAATTGCAGTCTTTCATGAAGTGTGCTGGACACTTTATAGTGATTACATTAAAAAGAATGCCCTATTAAGTGAGTCTTTTTTTTCTTATAAATGACCTTTTGGTGAACTTGAGGTATGATTTGGAGGAAATCTTTTTAATGGCTCATGGATGTCAGCCCGTGCTTTAGACTCTGACATGGTGAGTTTCTGGGGGCTGGTAAGCCTTTCATTGGAGGAAGCTTTGTGCAGGAGGTCTAAAAATTGATTGATTTATTTTTTGTTTGTTTATTTAGTTTCTCCAAAACTGTAAATCACTAAAATTTACTAGCATTGAAGTGAGTAAGCAGCTACAGATCTTTGGAAAAGGTTTTGGAACTGTACATGACAATTTTGATAAATGGGATTTTTTTTTTTTGTAAATGTGGAGTCCTGAAATTGGGTAGTTCTGTCTTACAGGAGTTGAAAGGGTTGAGAGGTAAATGCTGGCTTTCTGTCAATTTTGAGAATGGCAGTTGTCACTCATCTATTTGTATGACATACTTCAAAATCTTCTCCTTTGTAGTAAGCCTTCTGGAATTTTATTTTTCCTCTCTATATAACTTTCTTTCCCAGTGTCCTCTATGAAAGTGCTTACATGCTACAAAAGCACATTGTGTAACTGCTTTGTTTCCAGAGTTGATAATCTCTTATCACACAGGATAGCTGTATGATGGGACTGATCTTTGGTGTGCAGCAACACTCAGAAGAGGTAGTATATCAACACAGCTCATAACTTCCTTCCTGAGTTCCTAACCTCCTTCTCCAAAGTACATTTATAGTCAAAACTAAGTAAAACTTTGGGAAATGCTTTTGATAGCTGTAAGGGAAGAGGCAGAGTACTCTCACCTTGTACATGCTTTTCTGTCATTAACAAATAAAAATATGAAGTGTCACAATTATTTATGTGAGATGCGCCTTGGTAGTAAATTTGGTCAAGATGAGCGCTGCAAAAACTGCTTTCAGAAGGTCTTTCAAACAGTGGTTGGTCATTCTGTGTGCAGCTCCCATTCTGTAGGAATTTTTGGTTGTCGGTGAGCCTCTGTAGAAGTACTGAGAATTCTTCTGGTCACAGAAATCATGTGTGTGGATGTGCATTAGTAGTCCTTTGATTTGTGTAGGATAATATATGGCCTTCTTTTGGTAAGATACCATTTTCAGGATGGAATTTGAAGACTTTCAGCATGTTTCCAGGGTTCCTCGCTTTCCCAAGTCCTGCTTGGAGTTACTGCTCTGGTTCAACTAATGCTTGTTTTTAAGACTTGGAAAGCAATTGCAGATTAGCTCCTAGTGCATCCAATTTTCTGTATGTGTTGCATCAAGTGTGTATGTGTCTTTCTGTTTGTTGAAAAGCTAGAAGATAATGCAGCAAGTGTTGCACTTCTCCAACTTCAGTCTGTTGTTTCAAAGGACTTTATCTTAGCATGTGGACTTTCCAAAGCCAATACTTACTCTACAAGTAATGGCGAGTAATTAAATGATTCTCTTCATAGTTTGAGGGAAGTTGGTCTAGGATTGTTCACGTAGCAATGATAAGAAATGTATTCTGTAGCATTCAAATGTCTGAACCAAATTGAAAATGTACAATTGAGCTGTGAGGGCACTGAAGCACTTCTGGAAGCTTGAATAGAACATCACGTAGTTCTGCAGTGCAAAAGTGACTTGCTTAAAATTGATTGTATTGCAGGTGATTGAAGCAAATTTGAGTGGAGAAATGAACTTAAAAATAGAAACTGATGTAGTATCTGTAACAACGCATTTTAAAGATTTGGGAAATCCTCCCTGGGGTAAGTTTTCCTGTTTCTTCCCTCTTGTGTCTGATCTCATTACTGAAGTACTGTCAATAGTACCCGCCTTCTGTTAGTACTTAGAAAATACCATCAAATCCTTTCAAGTCTTCAAATGAAACCTTAAAAAGAAAGAGTCCAGTTCTCATATTTGCAGGGCAAATCTCTTCCAGTAATTTTGACAACTTGCTGGAATAGTGGGCTTCCACTTTCTTGCAGTGCTGTTGCTGATAAGCAGCCCCTTTGAATATCAACTGCTCTGTAATTATCAGGCGCGTCTTTCTAAGTTTTGAAATCTCTTCTGGCTTTTTTAATGAGTGTTGTGTTCTTTCAGTATCAGAGGATGGATGTCAAAGCTCTGCTCAAGGCAGAGATCTGCAGAGCATGGCTGAAGCACGCATAGACATCAAGAAGTTGCAGCAGCTGCTTGTAGGACAGCAGGTCAATCCCACAAAAGCCTTGTGCAGTAAGTTGAACTGCCCTGTTTACAAGCTCTGTTTAAGGAAGGGATGTTTGCTGTGCTTGTAGTCTTAGGTGAATAATGAATCTTCTGCTTTGTCACCTTGAAACTTCGCTGTTTTTACTGCACCTGAGAACTTTTAATGTTTCTGGGGAAGAAAGAAATAATGCTAAAAGCACTTAGCCAGGACCTTTTAAAAGTATCAGTACTCAGACTGAATAATAGAAACATGGGGTATCCAGAGTTGAAAGGAACCCACTAGAATAATCTACACCTGGCTCCACATAAAACTACTTAAAAAATTAAACTCTACGTCTGAGAGTGTTGTCGGAACACTTCTTGAATTACAGCAGGCTTGGTGCCATGACCACTACCCTGAGGAGCCATTACTTGTGCTCGACCACCTGCAAAGAACCTTTTCCTGACCCAACCTGACCCTCCTATGATGCTGCTCCATGCTGTTCCCCTGGGTCCTATTGCTGACAACAAAGGGATCATGAGGGAGCTGTAGGTTGCCATGAGGCCTCCTCTCACTACCTCTTGAACAAAGCAAGTACCCTCAGCTGTTCCTCATGTGTCTTGCTATCTAGATCCTTCACCATCTCTGTTGCCCTAACATCTTTACTTACAAATGCTTTTAAACCTAGATGAGTGGAAAAGTTTGTCATTTTTCCCCTCAAAAATAATTAACTTTTTTTGTCATAGGCATTGCAGGTTAATACCAGACTGACTAAACATAATTGGTATTGTTTTTTTGAATTGCCTTTGTTTTGAAGTTAAACTGATTTATTTCAGAGCCGAATTGTTTCTGGAAAGCTGTGGTTTATGCTAGAGAAATAGATTTACTGACTGTTTCCTCTCCTGTGCTTTTTTACGTCCAGAACCAAATTGATTCTGATACCGAAATGCTTTTTACACAGCAGGTGTTTCTAAACATTGAGAAGGTGTGTTCCCCTGAAACAGAAGTTGTACAGGGGTTTATATGACATTTTGATTACTCTGCGTGCTTTCCTCCTGGACTTCTGACTTTGTAAGATATAAGTGCATAGATGCTCTTATAGATGAAGTTATGGGTGTAGCATTATATGCTTGTGCTTTACGTATTTTCATTTTGGTATCAGCATTCATAGGCTTCAGTAATCCTTAATAGGCCCTCAAGTACTTTAATATTTCAGGGTTGTATGTCTGATCATTCTCTTTACTTCAAAGTATGCTTTAAAATGACATCCTGTATCAGAAGTGATGTTGTATTCTTATGGTGGCATTCTCAAAAGTATTTGCCATGCTTCCAACTGGATTTGTGTTTTTTTCTCTTTAACAGATATCGTGAGTAAAAGAATTGTCCACTTTATCTTGCTCCATGAAGATGTTTCACTTCAGTATTTTATTCCAGCGCTTGTCTGAACGTTTTGGAATCGTAGCCATTTTCCAACTGAGGCCTTTCCCACAAAGTGGGGTAGCAACTTACCTTGGTGTTGCCTGGTTTATAAATACATTTGTGATTTTCTGTGAGATAAGGGTGGGTGGGAGGAAAGGGGTCGCTAGTCTTCTTTTAATAAAATGTAAGATGTAATCCAGCAATTGAGACAAACAAATGCTTTATGCTGTTCTTTTGAAGCAGTTGACACCTGTGCTTGTTGAGTCACTGGATCTGTAGAAATCTCATTCTTCTTAATGGTGCTGCTTGTCTGCTTCCAGAAAGGACAAGGTAGGGTGGTTGTTTCTTTGTTAGGAATATTTTTTTGGAATATGTGGGACATTCAGCCTGTGGATATTCAAATTGAACGTTTTTACTCTTTCAGAAAAGAAGACAGTTCTGGGTGTTACGGTGTTCACTGCACGTGTTCACTGAGCACAGGCAGCTGTTAAGCATGTTTGTTGTTTTTTTAATTAAATAGCTGAGAAGCACTTTGATTAAGTTTCTGACTCTAATGGCAGGAGATCCTGAAAGCAGAAAACTTTCAAGACAAGTTGCACCTCCTGGTTATCCTGATGTCTGTATTTGAGATGAACTGCTGAGTTACGCTTCTGTTGTTCACGCTGTGTTTCGGTTAAAGTGCAAGGCCAGTAGGAAGTGGACAGATAAGTAATCCAGAACTGAAGCTTTCTGGAGCAATTATAGAATTGTTGTTCTTGAGTGGGTAAATAATTCCAATTTGGCATTGTTGGAAATGCTTGGAATCCATAATTTTCCATCAGGCAAAGATATCAGTGAAGCAGGATTTTATCATTCTGTATTACAGTAGCGGCTGCGCGCCCCCATGTGGCAGCGGTGAAAACGCACTGAATGAGTGGAACGCCATCGTGCAGCCTTTTCTTGCGTCGCATTACGACTCTCCTGTTCTCCTGTTGGCTCGGTACTCCAGGCTCACAATATATGCAAAGTGTTTCTTATCAATTTTTCCATGTAAGGTCTATCACCAAGCTATTGTTTTTAAGATCACTTTGTACTTTTCTATGGGTGCAGGAGGGTGATGTTTCTTGAAGCTGTCATGCCTGTTTCATTGCATGCCAGGCTTTCCTTACTCTGCTCTATTTTTTGCCTTATCCTTCGCTACTTACAAAAGCCACGTTTAAGAAAGAAGAAACCCATATCAGGTAGTATCTAAAGGTTAACTAGCCCCAATTCCTGATTTATGATACCTTTTATGGTGTTCTAGGAAGCACAGATTATTTATTTACATTTATTTAGCAGCCTTTTCCTTTTCAATGAACTTAAACATTCTTTTGTGAAAGTTGGTATTGTTCGTGTTTGATCACTGTGGGTGTTGCTCAAACCCTTTGGATTTACTACCCTGTTTGGGGCATCCTAGCCTCCATTCTGTTCTGCTGCTCAGCATTCTTCTTGTGAAAAACAACCAAGGCAGGCATTTTAACCTACATAGCTATTTTGTAAGAAAGGTGTAAGTTTGGTAAGGGTCTGTACCTTGGTATTGGAAGTTTCTACTGCAGAAACACAATTCTCATGTCATGCAGCTATGAAAAGAAATCTAAGAGCAGTCTTGCCAAGAGAAGTTATTGATAGTTCTAAAATACTGTGTTGTTGCATACTCTGAGTATCTGAAGAAGAGACACAATAGGTTTCCCATATATTGTTTTATGATCTGCAAAAAGACCATCTATTCTTAGTTTATGCCCTGGTGATATAGGCATTGAGGGATAGGAACAAAGCTGCTATCCTTCTGTGCTCTGTTACTGTGGAAAGCTGCATCACAAGCTTCTTAGATTCCCTGTCAGAAACTTTTCCAGAGATTCCCCTCTTCTTGTAGATGCATGTATTCTTTTTGCTGATGTTTTCCTTTTTGCTGAGATTGATTTTATTTTTTTTTTCATTCTTTTTAGTGAGAAAAGCCCTTCTCCGTACTGAAAGATTTTTATCAAAGCCACTTCTATGCCTCTTTTTGCTTATAAGGCCAAGTGTGCTTCCTGGAAGCTTGTCCCTTAATTCTGATGTATTACAAGAGTTCTGCAGCTGACTTGTTGTTTTCACTTTTTATGCTAACGCATATTGCCCTTGTATGTTTTAGTTCTTCCTAAGGATATGGTTCTGAGTTTTGTTGTTCTGTTTAAATTTCAGGACATCCTTCAGATGACAGTGTTTATAAAATATTAGAGAATTAGAAAGTCATCTATTTTCACAGTCATGGAATCACAGAATGGTTAAGGTTTTGGAAGGGACCTCTGGAGGTCACCTTGTCCAACCCTGTTGCTTGAGCAGGGTTGCCTAGAACAGGTTACGCAGGGCCATGTACATGCAGCTTTTGAAGATAGCCTAAGAGGGAGGCTCCATCACCTCTCTGGGCAACTTCTTAAAGTGCTCCATCATCCACGCAATGAAGAAGTGCTTTCCAGTGGTCATAGGGAATCTCTCGTGTTTCAGTTCTGTGCCCATTGCCTCTTGTCTCATCTCTGGGCACCACTGAAAAGAGCCTGGGTCTGTCTTCTTTACATCCTCCCTTCAGGGCTTTGTATAACATAGAATTGCAGGGGCGGGAAGCGACCTCTAGAGATCATCTGCCAAAACAGGCTCCCTAGGCCAAGTTGCAAGGTAGGCATCCAGGTGTGTCTTGAACATCTCCAGAGGAGAATCCACCACCCCTCGGGCAGCCTGTTCCAGGGCTCTGTCACCATTACTGTGTAGAAATTCTCATGCACGTTTGTGCAGAACTTCCTCTGCTTCAGTCTTTGGCCCTTTCCCCTTGTCCCATCAACACACACTGCTGAAAGGAGTTTGGCCTCGTCCCTTTGCCTCCCGCACCTTAGGTATTAAGACACCAGATCCCTGAGTCTTCTTTTCTCAAGGCTGAACAGACTCAGGTTACTCAACCTTCCCTCATAAGAGAGGTGCTCCAAGCCCTTTGTGGCCCTCCACTGGACTCTTTCCAGGAGATCCCTGCCTTTTTTTGTACCGGGGAGCCCAGAACTGGACACAGTGCTCCAGGTGCTCCTGGACCAGCCCTCCTCAAATAGGGGGAACCTCTCCATTTCCCAGACTCTTTCTTCCCTCCAGGGTCCAGGAGTCCCAAGGGCAAGTCTTTGAACATTCCAAGCCATGGGACTTTAACCCACTCCAAACCATAACAGAAAACAGCAATAAGAATACTGACAACACCAGAATAAGATGTGGGGGACTCAAACCTCTGTGCCACCTTCACTGTCTGCAGAGGTCTGTCCTCTGCTCATATTGCAATATTCCTACAACCTTAGCACCAAATGGCCGCCGTGGTGGGACTTAAAGCCACAGTCTTTGGTGGGACGCAAAGCCTTATTTAAGTTGAACCCTTTTATCAAGTCGTTGAGGGACTTGAACCTATATACCAAACCTTGGTGCTATCCAGGCTTTTGCCTGAAATAACTTTTCCAGTGGGGACTTGAACCCCTAAGGTACATTTATGGACCAACCCTGCATGGCTTTTGCCTGTGTTTTACAAGCAGACAGTTCCACGGGACTTAAACCCACAACCCAAGCTATGTAATGATGAAGAATGCCTTTACATTCCCAGGGGCCTTACCTCAGGCACTTTGGTCTGAGGACTGGAAGTTCTCCCTTTGGTGCCGGCTACAAGTCCTGCAATCCCAGAATCCACTGAGGTTCAGAAGCAGTGCTCCATATGTATTGCCAAAACCGCTGCCAAATGAACTTCAGCCCAAACAAAACTCTTAACACCAGTGTGATATTAAGAAGCAGGCATTCTTTATTGGATGCACAAGGGATCCTTCCACCTGACGTGCACCCCAACAGAATAAAGCCATAACCTGAATCATGAGAACAGATTTTCTATGTTGAGAGAGCAGCCTTTCGCATAGCTTGAGCTGAAGAACAGAAGGCCTGCATAAATGTAAGCTCAAGAATGAAATGTGGAGGACAAGAAATTTGTTGTCAAATGAAGATAAAGTGGAATAAATATCCAGTTATTGAAGGTAAGATGGCAAAACAGATGTCTCAGCTCAACGTAACAGTGGGAACTGGTTAGGGCAGCCCCCCTTATGAGGTGGAGATTCACTGTGAGAGTGATTGCTAGCCTTCATCCCACGACAACCAGAGATCCCCACCACATATTTTCAGGAGGGTGGGACAACAATTATTAATTATTTCTCAAAATTTCGGCCTGTTTTCTTGGCATGTTATTAATATGTATGTCCTATGTCTTTAAATGTGTAATCATTTCTCTCTTTGGTGTGCATCTCTCCACCTCCTTCCCTCCCCCTTCCTTCCCCTTTCTTTCTTTTTCTTATGTTCCGAAGTGGATTCATTTCTTCATCTTGACACTGAAAAAAGATCTGTACCAAGCCTCTTTGTGCCTTGACATTTGTTCTGAATTATCCTATAGGCAAAGTAATTTGCCAGTCAGAAGCCTTCAGCAACTACATACATGTAAGAGCTTCCCTCAGAGCAGCTGGCATAAGAAAAACATCCCAGAAAAGCTTATTTTCTCCAAATGTCCACTGCTCCCACTCCATCTCATCAAAGATTTTACATGCCTGGAAGTACATAAAACTCAGTCCATTTTGAACCAAGGGAGCACATTCCAGACTCTTATGGCCTTGAGAACATGCAGCTGCAAGCACTTTCTCTTTGTAGGAGCGGGGTTCATCTCAAACATCTACTGGTCACAGATGAAGCAGGGCTATATTTCATGGATTTCTCCTCACTTGCTTTGAGTAGTCTGCTGAGCATTTGCTACTCAGAAGCTGGTATTCAGGCTGAATGAACTGGGCCCCCTTTTCTACAAGATTTTTCTATAGGAAGGCCTTGTGGGATCAGCCTCGCAGCAGAGGCTTGCAACAGGAGAGGCAGTAGAGCAGCACAAGCCCTGACCAGAAGCACAAGGAGTGAGAGGGAGCCCCAGGCCCCCCTCAAGCACGAGCCATCTCTTCTTCAGGGAGGCAGTTCTGACACTGTGGATGGAGCTGGGAGGGATGATGGCCAGAGCCCCATGCATACAAAGAGCGTTACCAGAGAGCAGGGCAAACAGGGTGTGCTGTGTCAGAAGGGCATGGTGTGGCAGTTTGTGCAGCTGTTTGTGCAGGCAGGGCAAGGAGAGAGGACAGAATATTGCTCCCCACTTTAGGAGATGGTCTCACTTATCGGCTACTTCCCACACTACAAATCTGGCCATGGTCTCAGCTACGCAGAAAGCTCTTGCCAAAATATTGCTGCAATCTAGGCTGAAAATGTAGACATTCAGATCTCCGGCTGCAGGGAGTACCTGAGCCTCTTGCTGACATTGGAGGGTGGCGGAAGTGTGAGCAGTGGGACGATCAGCATGGTGGCAGGGCTCGAGGATGGTGTGGAAAGATTAAGGACTATCAGGGAATGTGGGCAGGAGATAGAGAGGTGGAGCAGCAGCCCTCTTAGGGAGGGGACCTGAGAGATGGAGAGGAATGGAACCAGGACCCTGCTCAGTATCACAGGCAAGTCCCTTCCCTATTTACTTCACCTTCCCCGGTGCCCCTGTGTGATAGATTTGATGATTTGGATCTTGAGGAATGCATAAGTGAGGAAGTGAGGGAGGGTGCAAAGAGGAGGTTGTCTAGGGAAAGGCAGTCAACTCCACACCTCAAGATTGCCTCTACCAAGAAGGAAAGAAGCGTAATCATTGTAGGCGACTCCTTTCTGAGGAGAATGCAGGGCTGTATGTATCAGCCTGAGCCTACCCATGGGGAGTCTGGTGCCTCCCTGGTGCCCAGATCAGGAGTATTACTGGAAAGCTTCCTGGCCTGGTTCACTCCTCTGATTATTATCCTTCACTGGTAATTCAGGTTGGCAATAAAGCCACTGAGAGAAGCCCAGAGTCCTCAGTGCCCAACCTTTTGTCTTGACTGGGCCACATTAAAGAGGAATTCTTGGGCTACACACAGATAAATTGCTCTGAAAGCAATGCCTCCTATGTATTTCCATGAAAAACACAGTCAGTACAAAGAGCACAGTAATATTATTTGATAGAGGAAATTCTTAGCTACAAAACACTATTTTTCAACATAGCCACCATCATTTTCAGTAGTGATGGAACAAGAGGCTGCATGCTGTGCTTATAAAAATCTGAAATGCACCACTCACCACATCACTGTGTTGACGTTTACTGTTTGGTCTCCATAGACATTCAGCAAACAAGCATAAATGAATGTCAGTGGGTTTCATTTTTTCCTCATTGAGGAATTCTGTGACATACTTTTGCTGAAGCACCATTTTGTCAGAATACCCTGCTTCTGCCATCTGTCACACAGCAATAGAACATAGTGGAATACTGGTGGGAAGGTTCAACCTCTTCTGCCACAACACCAACATACACCTTTTGTGTTGTGGGCCAACATAATAAAATAGGAGGCATTACTTCTGGAGCAGCCCTCATGAAATACACACTATCATTAATATTGTAACAAAACATTGTATTTTTTTAATATTTTTCTTAAAATATTAAAGAAGAAAGGAATAAAAGCATGAAACTAGTGGGATATTTGACCTTGTTTTTGTGAAACTGATGCAATCGTTTTGTTCAGTGGCAGTGGTTGCAAGTCTTAGAGTCTCAAGGTGTCCACCTGAGATTTTTGACAAAATTTTATTCTTCCTGTACCTGTTCACAAATGCACGTACTGCCAAGCAGCAATTAAATGAGTAAGGCATGGCTGTGAAGCAAAATGCATTTTTCTCTTGTGAGAGAAGTCTCATGAAATTCTGGTTAAGAGATATGATCAGATTTTTAGTTGAACATGTGACTGCAACTCCGTGCATTCTATGCCATTTGAAAATTTGAAGCTAATGTATTTACATCAACTGAAAATTACGTCAGAACCATAAATTGGTTTTTTAAAAATCTTGAAACCTGTTCTCAAACACCTTTATCAAAATGGCGGGGGTGGCTGCGTGTTCTTTGCTGTTCAAAGCACTGTGTTTAGCCAATGTATCAAAATGCAAACAATTATTTGCCACCACTTGAGTCGGCACTGCGCAGCACCGCCCTCCTGGTGCCCTCGTTTCAGCTGGCACTGTGTTAAGAGCACACCGATGGTTGGTTGTTGCTAAGTGATGCCTGCATGCCTGAACTTGGTGAAGAGCTTCCACCTTTACAGCCTGGGCAGGGGGCAGGCTGCATTGCAAGCCATGCTGGGCTGCGTGTGACCTGCAGGCTGCGAGGTGGACAAGCCTGCTTTAGGGCTATCAAAAGGGACTGCAGCGTGCTGATGGACAGAGCAGAAGTACGGGTTGTGCTTTTGTCTATCCTTCAGTGGCAGGGAAGGATACTGAGCAGATCAGGAAAATACATCTGATAAATACATGGCTGATAGGCTGGTGCCAGTGCGGGAATTTTTTTTTTTTTTTTTTTTTTTTTTTTACCACGGGGTGGTTTAAGGAGCACCTCACTGTCATCCAGAGATGGATGCACACACATCTCTTGTGTTTCAAGGGGGACACGGATACTAGCTCAGGAGCTGTCAGAGCTCACGGAGAGAGCTTGTAACTAGATATCAAAGGAGAAGAGAGAGATGAGCCTGGGATAAAAAAGCCAGGGTTGTGGTTAAGGGCAATGGCTCAGCTGACATGCACCTACACAATTATGTGCAACATGGCAACAAGCAGGAGAAGCTGGAAGCCATTGCGCAGCAGGCAGACTGTGATTTAGTTGCCATTACTGAAACATGGTGGGATCGCTCCCACAGCTGGAGTGCTGCAATGGATGGCTGTAAACTCTTCAGAAGGGACAGGCAAGGAAGGAGGGGTGGTGGCGTGGTTCTCTGTGTCAGAGAGAGCATTGACGTTGTAGAGCTCAGTGCTGGGAATGACAAGATCGAATCCCTTTGGGTAACGATCAGGGGAAAGGCCAACAAGGCAGAGATCCCGGTGGGAGTCTGTAATAGACCACCGAACCAGGATGAAGAGACACATGACAGATGAGGCCCAGAGAGTGGTGGTGAATGGAATTAAATCCAGCTGGCAACCAGTCACAAGTGGTGCTCCTCAGGGGTTGATACTGGGACTCATCCTGTTTAGTATCTTTATTGATGACTTGGATGAGGGGATTGACAGCACTCTCAGTAAATTTGCAGATGACACCAAGCTGGGGGAGAAGCGTTGATCTGCCTGGGAGGAAGGCCCTACAGAGGGACTTGGACAGGTTGGATCAATTGGCTGATGCCAATGGGATAAGTTCAACAAGACCAAGCGTCAGGTCCTTTGGTCTCAGCAACCACATGAGATGCTACAAGCTTGGGGCAGTGTCTAGAAAGCTGCATGGAGAAAATAGACCCGGGAGTGTTGGTTAATGCTTTGCTGAACGTGAGCCAGCAGTGTGCCCAGGTGACCAGGAAGGCCAATGGCATCCTGGCTTGTATCAGAAATAGTACAGCCAGCTGGACCAAGGTGGTGGTTGTTTCCCTTTACTCAGCTGTAATGAGGACACACCTTTAGTACTATGTTCTATAGTCTTAGTTTTGGGGCCCTTGCTACAAGGAAGACACTGAGACCCTGGAGCATGTCCAGAGAAGGGCAAAAAAGCCAGTGAAGAGGGTCTGCAGGGCAGGTCTTAGGAGGAACAACTGAGGGAGCTGGGATCACTTAGATTGGAGAAAAGGAGGTTCAGGGGAGACCTTACTGCTCTCTGCAAGTACCTGAAAGGAGGTTGTGGCAAGGTGGGGGTTGGCCTCTTCTCCCATGTAACTGGTGATAGGACTAGAGGGAATGACCTCAAGCTGCTCCCAGGGATATTCATATTGGGTATCAGGAAGAATTTGTTTTCAGAATGAGTGATTATGCATTGGAACAGGTTGCCCAGGGAGGTGGTGGAGTCACAGTCCCTGGAGGTGTTTAAGGAGGGAGAGCAATATTGGTGGTAGGTGGACAATTGGACAGGATGATCTTAGAGGTCTTTTTCAACTTACTAATTTTGCAATTCACTAATTTGCTCACTAATTCTGCAATTTCCTCTACCTTGTGTTCATATGTTCTGGTAAGATCCTCTAATTATTACCCCTTTCTGGTAGTTCAGGTAGGCAGTGATGAGGTTGTGGGGAGAAGCATGATGGCTTTCAAGAAGGACTTCAGGGCATTGGGGTGGTGAGTTTGTGGAAAGCACTCAGATAGTGTTTTCCTTGATCTCTTCAGTAGCAGGGAAAGATACTGAGAGGAGAAGAAAGACCCATCTGATCAACACGTGGCTAAGAGGCTGCTGCCACAGGAAAAATTTATTTTATTTTTTATTGGGGTGGTTTATCTGGCACCAGCCTGCATGCAACAGATGGGGTCCACCTTGGTCAATGGGGGGAAAGAATTCTGGCCTAGGAGTTGTCAGAGCTCAAAGAAAGGGCTTCAAACTAAGTTTGAACATAAAAGAGGATAAAACCAGGCTTGCTAGAGATGAACTTACGAGCAGCAATTCAGGGTCATAGGTGAGACCAGTAGCCTAGCTGAAGTGCACTAATGCATGTGGCATGGGCAATGAACAGGATCTTGAAGCCATGGTGCAACAGGAGAACTATGAGTTAGTTGCCATCACTGAAACATGGTGGGATCATTCTTATGGCTAGAGTGCTGCAATGGAGGGTTATAAGACTTCAGGAGGTGAAGGCAAGGGAGGAGAGGTGGTGGGGTGGCTCTCTATGTTACGAGGTGTTTCAACTCTGTAGAGCTCAGTACCAGGAATGATGATGTTGAGTCGTTTTAGCTGAGGATCAGGGGAAGATCAAAGAGGATAATATCCTGTTGGGAATCAATTTTAAACCACCCAATCAGGATGAAGAGATGGGAGAAGCATTCTATAGGCATCTGCTGGAAGTCACGAGATCAGTAGCCCTGGTTACTGATGGTCCCCTGGTGGGGGACCCTGGTGAAGTCCCCTGGTGGGGGACTTCAACATACCTGGTGTCTGCTGGAAATACTGATACAGCTGAGAGGAAGCAGCCTAGGAAGTTCCTAGAGTGTGGAAGATAACTTTCCAAGACAGCTGGTATGTGAGCCTACCAGGGGAAGCTCCCTGATGGATCTGCTGTTCACAAACAAAGAAGGAATGGTCACAGACAAGGTGGCTGGAAGCTGTCCTAGACATAGCAGTCATGAATTTATGGGTTTTGATCTTTGGAAAAGTAAGAAAGGAGGTTAGCAGAATTGCCACTTTGGAATTCCAGAGGGCAGACTGTTTAGGAGACTGGTTGCCAAAGTTCCTTAGGAGTCAGTCCTGAGAGGCACAGGGTTTCAGGAAGGCTGGATGTTGCTCTAGAAGGAAAGCTTAAAAGCTCAGGAGCAAGCTGCCCTCACGTGGTGAAAGGGAAGATCAGCCTGATCTGAGAGCTTCGGCTAGAGCTCAGGAAGAAAAAGTGTTCACGATCTTTGCAAGAAGGGACGGGCCATTCAAGGGGGATATGAAGAGGCTGTGAGGCTCTGCAGGGAGAAAATTAGAGGGGTCAAAGCCCAACTGGATCTGAAGTGTCTACATCCTTTAAAAACCAACTGTACTGTGTCTGCTTCTATAGTTCTGGTTCATGGTACAAGGCAACTAAACTCTTAAGTCCCTCTGTGCACCCCCTTTGCAGTGCATGGATCTCCATTCCACATGCATCTCCACTCCACAGTTGTACCTGAGAATTTGCCCAGGTTTGGGAGATGTTACCTACTATGGAAGAGAGGAGAACATCATGGGTTCATTCAGTAGTTCTAATCTTTGCTTGCTCAGAATCAAGCTCATCCAGCTTTATGAGCTCCAAAGATAGATGTTGTTTTCCCTAATTAAGTTAGAAATTTGAGTTTAGATAATAGTTACTAGCTCACTGTTCATTTACTTCTCCTATTTGATCTCATCATGCTAAAGAATTATATTTCCCTCTCTTAAATTTAACATGTCTTCGACTGGACGTTGATACAAAACACTGCTTGTATTCAGGATTTTCATTTCATTGTAGGATGATTAATGAAAAATTGGACTGCAAGGATGAATTTGGAAGTTCAGTTGGAAGGGACCTACAACAATCATCGCATCCAACTGCTTGGCCATCTCAGGACTAACCAAAAGTTAAAGCATATTATTAAGTCCATTATCCAAATGCCTTTTGAACATCTGCAAGCATGGAGCACCAGTCACATTATTAGGAAGCCTGTTCCCCTGTTTGACCACCTTCACAAGGAATAATTTTTTCCTCATGTCCAGCTTGAACCTCCTTTACTGCAGCTTTGCGCTATTCCTCTGCATCCTGTCATTGCTTACCAAGGAAAAGAGACACAGACATGTCTCTCCATTTTCCTTCCTCAGGATGTTATAGAGAGCAATGAGGTTGTCTCTTAGCCTTCTTTCCTCCAAACTAGATAATGTAAGTGTCTTCAGCTTATCCTCACAGGACACACCTTCCAGCCTGTTTGTCAGCTTTGTTGCCTTCTGGGTACTTTCAAGGACCTTAATGTCCTCTTTGTATTGTGTAGCAAAGGAAGCCATATCAGCAGGAAATACAGAATCACCTCAGTTGACCAGCTG